ACGCGGCTCTTGCGTGGGCTGTGTAGAGCGCTCGTCTAAGGATGTCGTAAGTTAATCCGTTTGTTTAAGGGCTTAGAGAGATCTTTGGGTTGAGGGTGACCGGAAAATTGTGACTTCTCAGCTTTCTTTCTTTCGTTCATGGCTGTCGGCAGGAGATGGACGCAACGCAATCGACATGAGCTCTTTCACATGATCCCTCACTCGCCAAGTGATGCTGTTCTGACTTGTGAAGCAAGTCAGACTGTAACAAACCCAAGCCTCCGTGCTGCTCTGCTGTTCCTACTCCCGGCTTGAGCTGAGAGACGGCGGCACAAAGAAGTCAAACGTGGGTCAGTGCCTGATGAAATGTTTGAGCTGAACGAACTTGAAGGAGTCCCTGTCCCCAATCCTTCACATGTCCCGGCCTTTTGCCTACAAAGAACATGCTTTTGATACGTAGCGAAGTTGTCGAAAAGCTTTTTTTGACATGCTTCGACAGTTGTCGTAGTAATAAGCGAATTGACATACACCTGGTGTGGGTGCTGTCGGGAAAGCAATTGGACACGTCCCCTCGGCTGGAGCAGTGGTAACTATCTCTGTCCGAAAGCTTCATTGACAGAACGATGGCTGAAGGCGTAGTTGCATGACCAGACTCATGGCTGTATAACAAGACCGTGCAACAGGAACTCGAAGACTTGCCGATCGAATGCTGCCACCATCCAGGGACACATTTATAAGTGCACAGACGAGAAGTCTACCTGGGAAGAAAATGGCGGCTTCAGGGATTCTCGCCTCCTGCCTCTCCAATTACCGACATCAAGCAGGCCGACTTGCGGCAGCTTCCATGATCACAATGAGCATCGAAAACTTGGCTTGGGTGGTTCGGGTGGAGCAGAAACCCGACCTCCCAAACCCTGACCCATAACACCCGAAACCCTTGAACCTTAAATCCTAAACAGTAGAGCCTCGGGGTGAAGATCATCGGCTCATGCCCGGCAGTTGATCACTGGAAGCGTGCCACCGGAGGCAACCGCCTTCCTACCTCGGCCGGTTCTTCGATCCGAACAGCTCTGGCGAATCAGGACAGGCTGCTCGGACGTATTTTAATAGAATATACTACTATATCGGGACGAGAAGCAGCTTTTGTCAAAACTTATTGAGGAAGCCACGCGCCCTCCGCGCAGAAGACATTGCGTGCCAATTCAACTACACTATATCAGCTTGACTGCTCCGGTGTTTTAGTTCATGACACGATAGCACATAAGTCTCTCTCTCTCTCTCTCTCTCTACGTGCGTGTAAAGAAATCTGTTATATGTGCAGTAAACACTGTTTGTTGGCGGCACACACATGCCGATATGGCATGTGCTAGTTGAGATATGTATGGCAAGGGGCTGTGATTGAATAAGTGGTAGCTGACGGCCAGTTCGAGGAAGAGTTTACAACCCTCCCGGTTGCATGCCCAAGGTACATGCATTCTCCAGTTGATTGGCTGCCCTCTCCACGTCTTCACAGTCGCCTCAGATGGGTACATTCATGGTGGGGAAGATCTGCAGCCGAACGAAACGAAGTTGCTGCACAGCGAAGCAGAGCATGTCCCCTTCCCCCTGCACCTCAACACATCAAATGCACGTATGTGAACGTCAGACATGTGTTGGACCACCGCCGGCAACCGCAATCGAAATCTGAAGGTGCAGAAGCGTCACAATAGTAATAAGCATAATCAGAATACTTAATTCACAATTACATATGGCAATAATAACAATTAATAGCAATAATATCAAGAATCATGAGTCATAACCATAGTAGTAACTATAATAGTATTAGTTAACTCATGAAACAGTCCAGTAGTAATAATAGTAATGACTAAGACTAGCTCCAACAAACCCCACCTTTTTTTGGCTGATGTGCCCTTGCATTCAAATTTCTCAGACTGGTCGCTGTCCGCTGCATTCTCCAGCATGGCTTGAATGACGGTGCCGGCAGGACCCATGTCCCTGTGTTTCAGCGCAAGTCAGGCTGGCGGATTGAAATTAAATCAATGCAAACACTCGTCTACGTGATGCGATCTTCTCCAGAGGCCCTGGAAGCCAAAACCAAATCTTGGCCCATGCAGCCCACAATTCTTCAGCTGGGGAGCCGGTACGTCGGGTTCTGCGGCCAGCCGGGGTTCCTTTTGGATGCAGCAGGAGAAGCTGTTGGCTGTAGGGAGGGTAGCGGCGTTCAGGAGGAATGTGCACGCGGAGGAGACCCAAACCCAAATCAAGATATCACACTGTAAAGTATGTTATAGCCTATTTCAGTACAATACAGTGGTATATTGTTTTCAAACACTCTCTATTAGTATATGATAGCACACCGGCCTCTGACTTCGGGTACGTGTACCATGGCTTTGGCCGGGGCCTCTTGAGAACATAGTCTGCTCGGACTCATATATATATATATATATATATATATACATATACATATACATATGTGTGTGTAAATGAACATGTCGTAGATGGATGGATGGATGGATGGATGGGAGAGTGGATGGGAGGGAGGGATGGGTGGATGGGAGGGAGGGATGCAAATGTGTATGGTTGAGTCGGTTCATAGGCCAGCATGCTTAGACTTTCAAGACAGGGTTCAGTAGCCGCAAAGGCTCAAGATTTACCAAATCAGATCAGAAAACGGACATCCGCACTGCCAACAAAAGCCTTTCATGTCTTCATTAGAGAGAGAGAGAGAGAGAGAGAGAGAGACAGAGACAGAGACAGAGACAGAGAGAGAGAGAGAGAGGGACAAAGAGAGAGAGAGAGAGAGAGAGGGACAGAGAGAGAGAGAGAGAGGGAGAGAAAGAGAGAGGGAGGGAGAGAGAGATAGAGAGAGAGAGAGAGAGAGAGCTAGCAGATATAGAAGCCGACCAAGGCTCTGATGCTCGTAAACGACAGCCCAGGCGAGGCAGTCACCCCAGCGCCCCGCAACGAAGCCAGTACTCGGATTCACCTCCGGTGGGCCGCGACCTTCGCGGAAGATACCGTGTGACCTACAGGCTGCAGTATCCCATTCATAAGCTGTCTGAACGGGTATTGCAAGGTTTTTTGTATCTGTGCTATAACCAGAAAACGGCCAGGCAACCCGATGAAAGTTCGATCAACCGTTGCGGCATGGAGGGATTTCGGGGGTTGATGGGCATTAATGTCGAACCACATGCTTGAGGAGGAATGACCGACAGTCAATGCGTAAAAGCACAAGCCAAGCAAACAGTCTTTCCTGTCAGACTAACGACTAGTTGCTCGGTTGTTTCCCTTCTGCGTAGCTGACTTGGTCACAGTGCAGGGACAACCCGAGACTATACTATACGGGGTACAAGATTTTTCCCTCTCTTTTACAGGGTTGAGCTGTACGACTTTGGCATAAACCAAAAAACAGGGTCGTGACTTAGACGGTTTGAGAAGTCGACCGCCTTTTTCCGCACAATCGACTTCCACGGTTTGAGCAGTCGACCGCCTTTTCCGCACAATCGACTTCCACGGTTTGAGCAGTCGACCGCCTGATTCTGCACAATCGACTTCCACGGTTTGAGCAGTCGACCGCCTGATTCTGCACAATCGAGTTCCTAGCTCGGGGTGCAGCCCAGAAGAAAAAAGAGCTCGAGCCTCGAGCTCTTTTTTCTTCTGGGCTGCACTGACGCCGTCAAGGCCACATGATGGACCGGCTGAGTGAAAACAACGCCTAACATGAACTTAAAATACTGTTTCGTTTGCGCTCCACCATAAGGCCACGGCAAGCTGAGCGCCGAGACCGAAGTCGACCGGCGAGCTCAGGAATGCACCGGGACGGAAGTCGACCGGCACGCGATGTGGTCACCCCAGTGCTTCAATGTCTACGACCGTTGTCAAGGCCATCTCCGAACCTGGCGGCCGGTCCATCGGCTTGTGGTTGAGACGATTGGCCCAATCGTCCAGCCACATGATGGACCGGCTGTGTGAAAACAACGCCTATAACATGAACTCAACTTTTTCAATGACATGACCTTGACATCAGCATGTCGAACATGCTCGGTCAAGCAGTTCAACGAGAAGGCTCTGTAGGCTACAGAGCCTTCTCGTTGAGCTGCTTGGGAACCGTGGGGCAGCTCCAATGCGAACACCTCTCAGAGGGATTCGCATTCGAGCTGCCCCACGGCTCCAGAACTCCTTTGTACACTCAGGAGGCACGCAAAGTGAAGATTCAGCGAAGCTGAAGGACCGGCACTGTGTCTGGTCTTCCAACCAGCAGCCACGGACCATTTGGACGGCATGGTCGTACCATGTCATCCACCTGGTCGACCTGCTCTCAGAGGAGGGCTCACCACGTCTGCCTGGCAATGAGCAAACGACATTAATTAAGATTGACTGAAAATAGGCACGACCGACGTGGCACAGGATGAATCATGGAGCAAGTGTGCCAATCAGATATTGGGCATTGCACCACACTGCATTTTTTTAACCGCACTGTTCTTCAACGCGTACAGGCCAAGGCGACCGCCAACATTACTCCACAGTTGGCCACATGCATTCCGTTGCCGACCTGCTGTCGGTTGGGCTGCCCCAGGACCCCATAGTTCATTGCCATTGCTGCTGCCATTTCGACCGGCAGAAGCCATCGGCTCAAACCATCCACCCAAATTTTCGTATTCGTGCGGAAAGTTGGCAAGCGACCATCTTTTGTAGTCATCTTAAGGAAACGTGCAGGGTTTTGGCTGAGATCAAAGACCGGCTCCTGCTCTTTGTCAGACCGGCACTGCTGCCAAGTTTCACGGTACTTTGCCAAGTATTTCTGCTGCTGCTCAGTCAGCAGACATTCCCACGACCGGCTTGGCGTCTGCACCATGTCTAAACCCTTTGCTCTGCGACAGAAGTTCTCCTCTTCTAGAGTCTCCTCGACCGACCCTATGTAACAATCTCTGATGGACAGTCCACCACCGACGGAATTGAAGAAGCTTGTCACGAAATGGTAGACCGTCGGGATATCGGCAACCGACGCTCTCGACCGATGTACTAGCACGGAATATACCCGTGGTCGATTCACACAGGTGAAGCCCACATGGTGTGGCTCGACCCGCAAGTGATGAATGACATACTTTTCCTGCATGAGATCCTCCAGGACCGACGTGGGAAAGCCGGACACGTTTTCGTGCAGTATGACCGGCGGCTCGTGCTTCAACATAAGGGCTGCCCATAGCAGGAGAAGGTCAGACCGACCGTCGGTCCAGCGCCTCTTCTGTCCAGCTCTCGACCATGGCTGGCATGGGCTACCGCTGATGTCGACCGTCACGGGTGGTGGCCGGCATGCAACATGACACCGACATATTCTTGGGACGTTGGCAGCTGCTCTCTTGGCCAGTGCCCACCGCTCTGCGACCGGCCGGTCAGGACCTAGCATTTCCAGAGTCGGAAAGGCATCCCTGATATCTCCAAAGACATGCTCCGACCGACCCATCAAAAGATTCTGGCAGGCCCGTGACCCGTGATACGTCACACGCAGACACGAACTGCAGCGTCGATCTCTTGGCGACCGCCCGCGTGGTGAACTTACACAGAAGAAGTTCTTGGAAGGCCTTGTGCACACGCTCGACCGCCTGCTCAGCACATCCAACACCTGAGAAATGTGTACTGACACGGATTGGGCCAGCCAGCATGGAACCTGGTCAGGGTGCTCAGAAACTGATAACGATTATTATTACTACTGCTCTGATAATGATAACTTATTAGCATTATGACGATTGCAAGAATAATTAATAAACGGTTCTTAATCGATGGGTTTCACAACAGCCATGCCTTGAAGTTGCTTGACCGACAAAATACGACTTAAAGCAATCATCGTGATCTCAGGCCACTGCTTGGCACCTGCCATGCCGCTGCCAAAATTTGCGACCGGCGTCGCATTTGCCTGGTCCACGTCAATATCTGGCATATCTGACGCCGGAAGAGACTCCGACCCACTCTCATCCGGCGACCAGCTCTTCAAGCTTTCGCTGTCTGAACATATCTGGAGGTCGACCGACTCAGACTCCGAAAGGAGCTCCATCTGCTCCATGTCTAAAGTCTAGTCTCAAGTGAAGTTCTCATGTATATTATAGGTATGATGATACGCTGATGCTGCCGTGCAATGGCTTTGTTCAGTCCCAAGGCTTGTTGCTCCCTGACACGACCACGGCTGCAAGAAACTCTCTAAGTGATGTGTAGTCGATGATGCTATAAGAGCTGAAGCACAGCTGGCAAGTCAGACAGACAGAGTCAAGCAGAAGGCCATGCCATCGTGACAGCATCGCCTTGTGATCGACCGACAAAGGGCTTACACATCGCCTCGTTGTCTTTCTTTCAGTGGCAGCGACCAGCACGGCAACCACGGCCTGGGCCACATGAGCTCTGATTCTTTGTCATTGTACGAGCTAATCACAGGACGGTCAGGTTACTAAAGAAGGTCTGAGCTTCCAACATGCCACCAGCTGGAGATGCAAAGCAACTCGGATCCACGATCGCCCGGCAGTGCCGGACAGTCGTGGGCCAGGGTTGCTTCGGATCTTCATCTTATGGCATTGACCGGCCTGCTTGACTGAAGATAACATGTGAGAGAAATCAGGAGGAGTGCAGCAAACAAACAGCTGCGGGTCCGACGAGACCACTGAAGCACCTAGTGCCCAACCTGAAGAACCACTTTGCTGACAGCAAAATGGTTCTGCAGCTTGGGCACCATGATGGCCTGGTGCTTTGCAAAAGACATGATCACCAACCGAGCTAGTGCTTCATATGCAACACACGGCCCAGTCCTTTGTGCAGCAGTGACCGGCGATCCAGTCATGGCCTGGGTGACGTGACTCACTCGAAAAGTGACCGAGCTAGATCTTGGTACACAAATGCAGTGTTCACAACATCGTCGGCATTTTTTCTCAGCAGCGACCAGCTCACTTCCAAAGCTTAGCCCGACTGGCTTGGTACTTCTTGCCATCCTCTGATTCCAGCCACTCTTTCAAGTAGTCTCTCATAACAGAGGAGGCGACCGACTTCTGCTGAGCGTGCAGGACCTGCACTGAGGTTGGCAGCAGTTGCACTTTCCTTGGCTCTCTGGTCCTTCCAGTCAACTTGAATACTGTAGAGTTGTATTTTTTAACAATTAAGTTGATTCCTTACATTTGATTAGTACATGTCATGATTGAGTCAAATAATAAACTAATACTATGTGCAGGCTGATGACCCGCCAACGACCGCCTTCTGCACAGCTTGCTGGAGAACATCAGGAAGATCACACGGCAATGACGAAGAATGTTGCTGCTGAATGTTCCTCAAGACGACCGACAATCCACCATCGATGTCTTGTGGGAGCAGTGGATCCAGCAGTTCTGCCATGTCCTGACGGCTGTGCCCAGAAAGCTCTTCAAACGACCGTCCAGACAGACGCACAGCATTGTTCTTCTGGCGGATCTGCTCAGTGGGTCCTCCTCCTCGGGCTCGTTTGCGGACCGACATGATCGACCGGCAGACTGCAGCTTTGAGGATTTCATCGCGGTCCGAGCCCAGCATGTGCAGCCCACCTTGGGCCTCAGACAGGCAATTTCAGGCTCGTGTTTTTCTCTGTCTAATCAAAAATACATTGAATAATTGATGAATCAACACTAGAACTAAACAAATACTTTACTATGTGTTTCCAGAGATCCAAGAGCAGGCGATCGACCGCCTGTGCCGGGGTAAGACCAGCACAGGCATCGTACTGGTAATTCATTATGGAACCCAGGCGCTCGATGGCAGCTTCAGGTGCTGCCAGCAGCCGAGTACGATGATGCAAGCGACCGACATGCCAGCACTTTGGGTCTGTTCTGCATCGACCAACTGTAAACCAAGGATGTGCTTCCAAGGATCTAGCGATTGCCACAGAATCAACCGAGACCTTCATTTCGGTCACAACCACCAAGCGCTTAGCCAAGATACCAGACTTCCTCAGACCGACAATAGATATGGACGCATATATATTGTCAGCAAAG